AGCAATCTACATGTAGAAATGTACTAGAAAGTACATAAAAGAAAGGTAAATCCTTAAAAGGAGAAGTACAGTCAAAGCTCGGTTGGTTGTACTTCTCCTGTGGATTACAAGAGTGCAGTTAGTTTTGCCCTCCTGTGACCCATTTTCAGCCGACAGCAGGCTAAAGTCCACTGTTAGCTGCCACCTGTCCAGGCTGGGGAAAGATCCCGACTTTAAAATTGGAATCAACCCAGTTCCCTGGCCCTGCACCTGGCTCAGGCTTTCAGCGATTCGCTGAGAGCCAGAGGAAGATCCTCCCACCCCCTCCACAGTCCAGCACTCCAGTGAGCGCTGGATGGGCAGAGCAGAGCAGAGCACTGGAGACTAAGGCTGGCCATACATTACACAATTTTTCTTGAGAAATTTGCTTTAGATTTACCAAAAACCATATAATATGAGGTCAAACCTAAACAACACTATCAATTGTATCCAATTAGGCAGGCCCTTGTGCTACATAGTTGAAGGTAAATCTAAAGGAAATTGGGCAGAAAGTGTATTGGCCATACACTATACAATGATTTTACAATTTGTAACAGTCCCGACTATCTGCTCAGAGCAGAGGGAGAGAACGGAGCGATCAGCGGTGTCTGATCGCTCAGTTCTCACCCTTAGAACCATCGGGGGACAAATGCAGCAACGATACGATAGTAAGTATAATATTTAAAAAAATATTAAAAAAAAAAAAAAACACACCGAGGAGCACTGAAACTACATTAAAATTGTAAATGTGCATGAGGAAATGCACGCTGAACACAGAGATTGTGGTGTGAACTAGCCCTAAGGGGGGAGTTGGGGGTTGAGCCCCCCCCCCTTCCTCAGGCATTCATGTGGATGAGCCCAAAAACACTGCCATTGCTCCATGGAAATCCAAGGCAGTGTTGTCAATTCTGCCTGAGAGAGGAAGGTGTTTAGTAATCCAGTAGAATACAACTCAGGCAGGGAATGATAGAATTATTTATGAAAAAAAAAATCTGTAAATCTCTGCAATAAATGCCAAGTTTCTCCAGGTTTCATTTCCTTGACTGAACAGCTTTTAAAGTTTCTACTGTCCAGGCAAAAGGTGATTTAGATAATTAGTAAGTTGAATAAATGGAGGCCTAATGAATGTTCCTTTTTCATGTGGCCTGGAATACAGGCTGCACCATAGACTCTGCAGCTCGTTCATACTTCTGTTTCATGGTTATAGATGTTACCCTTTACACGGCTACCATGTACATCATGGCTCTATACTTTGCAGTGAGTTAGACGGAGAGCTTTTAGCTCTTTTTGCCCCAGCTTGCTATCCTGTTTTAGTACTCCATAAGCCCTATTCCTCAAAGCCCTTATTTTTATAGCTTGCATTGTATGCAGCTGTATGCTAGTTGGAATAACCTGTTCTATAAACACAGGCTGTATCTGTGCTGTAGGCTGACTGATGGTGTTGGCTGCCTAATAAAATGATTTGCATAGCTCTGTACACTATCCTAAAATGAGGAAGAAGCCTCTTTTTTTAGATGCATGATGGAAGCCATGACACAAATGCATCCTGCATTAGGAAGACAAGACTGGACAAAATTAAAAATAAAGGCATACAAGAGCTCCACCTAGTGGACAAACAAGAATATTCTGTTTACATCCCAACAGAAGCATTTAACCATCTATCCCCTCATGTCTTTCTTTTCAGTGAAAGTCATTTTTCCCACCCAACCTGTTAACTAAAAAAGAAAGGCAGCTAAATCACTTCACTATTTCACTAAAAATAAGGATCTAGTCTGAGCAGCTGCTTTTGCATTCTATGCAAATAATTAAACGAGTATGATCATTTACTGCATATTAAAGTATAACTAAAGGCAAAACTTTTTTTTTTTTTTTATCTTTGGACAGAGTGGAGAGGGATTGGGACACCCGGCTGTTTTTTTATTGTCGATGCCCCATTAGGGAGATTCATCCTCTCTATTTGTCTTGTTATCTTTGAAAGTAAAAGATAATACAAATTTTGGGATGTCCCCAGAACAAGAATAGTGCTTGTATCCTTCAATGGGAATACTAGTTCGGGTGACCCTGGTAACAACCAGCAATTACCTCACCTTAGAGTTATTTTCTTTCACTTCCTGTTTTGCCTTTGGGACAGGAAGTGAAGGACAATCTCTCCCCAATAGGACACAAGATGGCAAAAATAAATCTTACTGATGTTATGATCCTCCCTTACACTATCCAAAATGGGGAAAACAGTTTTGCATTTAGTTCCACCTTAAAAATGTATCTTTAAAATGTTATTAAACCCTGGACCCTGCATTCACTTTATCTGGTCTCCCACAGTACACACAACATGGAAATGCAATTATTTTAGTAAATATAAACTACTAAATACCTTTGCTGATCACATGCACTCACTCCCAAGAAAAAAAAAAAACTCTCTAGCAATACACACTAAACTTAGCATGTGCAGAGTCTCCACACGATATGTCTTATCAGGAGAAAAGAGGGGGACACTAGAAGAAGGGGAGGATCAGAGAAATCAGGATCAAACAATATTTAAACAATGCAGGGGATTAACCCCTTGGGTTCCACAGTGAGTATAACAAGCATGATTTACTGCATATACAGACTGATTTTACTGTGGGTTTAGTAACACTTTATTCAAATATTTTACAGAATTAAAACTTGTGATCATGTACCGTATAGACACTAGATAGAGAATACAATTTTGCCATAATAACCATAACTAATCATAGGCCAATTAAAACCATTTTAAAGTATATTTAAAGCAAAAATATTTTCTTTGCTACAGAGAGAGGAGGGAACAGTTAAAACCCTAGTCAGTTTTTTGTTTTGTTGCCTTCAGTGCCCCATTGGAGACACCTCCCTTCACTTGCTGTCCCAAAGACACAATAGGAAGTGAGGGGAATCTCTTCAAAGAGAAGGAATTTTCCTCTTGGACAGGTGACACCAAAGAGTTGTCCTTATGTCTTTAGGCAATCATTTCCCCTCTATTCCTGTTATGGTGATCACTCTAAATTTTTGATTTTTACCTTATGGAACAGCTCTGCAGCAGACACAAACTGAATCACGCCCTGACAGGATTTCAAACCCTTCCTCAACTCTATCTAAATCTGAAAACAGGAATGATTTGGCTTTAAATACACTTTAACCGCTTGCCTACTGGGCACTTATACCCCCTTCCTGCCCAGGCCAATTTTCAGCTTTCAGAGCTATCACATTTTGAATGACAATTGCGCGGTCATGCAACACTGTACCCATATGACATTTTTATCATTGTTTTAAGACAGATATAGCTTTCTTTTGGTGGTATTTAATCATCTCTAGGTTTTTTATACGCTAAACCAAAAACAACTGAAAATTTTGAAAAAAAAAGTTTTTCTTAGTTTTTGTTTTAAAATTTTGTAAATAAGTGATTTTTCTCCTTCACTGATATGCAATAATGAGGCTGCAGTGCAGTGATGGGGCACTGATAGGCTGCACTGATGGGCACTGATAGGTGGCACTGGTAGGTGGCACCGATGGTCATTGACATGCATCACTGATGGGCACTGAAAGGTAGCACTCATATATGGCACTGATAGGCGGCACTGATAGGCAGCACTGACAGGCACTGATAGGCGGCACTGCTAGTCGGCACTGATTGGCAGCACTGATAGGTGGCACTGACTGGCACAGCTAGGTGACACTGAAAGGCAGCTCAGATGGGCACTGATATGTGGCATTGATGTGCACTGGTAGGCACTGATATGTGGCACTGATGGGCACTGGCAGGTGGCACTGATGAGCACTGACAGCTGGCATTGATGGACACTGACAGGTGGCACTGTTGGGGCTACACTGATCATCAGGGCACACTGATCATCAGTGCCTTGATGATCAGTGTACATGTCCCCTCCGAGGAATGCCGATTACCGGCTCTCCTCTCCTCTCGAGCTGTCAGCATAACCGGCATTTCCCTGTTTACATGTGATCAGCTGTGATTGGACACAGCTGATCACATGACCGAGCCGAAATCTTCGGCTCTTTCCGTTGATCGGTAATCCGCTGTGTCCTACATCAGGCATGTTTGTACCAACATCAGGCAGCGTGCCTCAGTAGCTGAGCACAAATTCCAAAAAAGTCATGAAGGCTCCAGTAGACATGGGGGGGGCATCTTGGCTTCACCTGACAGAGCTGAGGAAGACACCCATAATGAGAACTATAAACATAAGGGTCCCAAGTTCCAGATTATAGGTGCCAGTTCCCTCTAAAGATACAGAGTAAATGCCCCCAAAACCACAAGGGAGAACAAGCTGAAGTCACCTGTGGCAGCAGGACTCTCCTCTCTCTGCCTTAGCAAAAACCAGCTGCCACTACATAGCAGCAATGCAATGAGGCCCAATGCGAGGCAAGGCCTCTGGTACACGTAAACCCAAACAGTTTGTGCCAATGATGGTTTTAGGTGGCGGAAGGTTACCAAGTCACTGTAGCAGGACAGTGGAAATAGATCTGAGATACACATGGTGCATTATAAGTATGGGCCAAGCTGAATGGCAGGAAAAAGAGCCCATAGCACATGTTGCTTCACCCAGTGAATGACATTCTGATCCCTTTGCCTTTACCCCTGCCAAAATAAAGCAAATGTAATTTGGAAAGGTTCCCAGTGCTATAAACAGTGAGCCAGCTTTCAGAGCTTTAGCCCAAATCAGCTTAATCACAAAGCAAGTCTTCACTTGCACCTCGTGCTGTTCCATGGCTCTGGACCTGGACAGTGCTTTGTGGCTAACACAGTACACTCAGGTCAGGAAAGCATCACAATGCAGAGCCCAATGTCCAAAGGTCACATTCCACGTTAGCCCTGCACATGCAGGCCATTGGAGTATGAGTATGGACTCTAAGGCTATTGCTGAGGATAGCTGCTATACCAGCTCAAGCATAGGTGAAGGGAGGAAACTTGATTAACCTCCCTAGCGGAATTCCCGAGTGTAGCTCGGGGTAAAATGTCAGTGCCAAAAGCGGTAACCCCGAGCTACACTCGGGCTTACCATGCGGCGCTGCATAGGGAGTCCCTGCAGAGCTTACCTTGTCCTTCGCTCCCGCGATGTGTCCCCTGCAGCATCCCCGGCCATCTCCTCCGGCCGATGTTGGCATCCGGCTTCTGTATTCCGGTCCCTGTGACGTCGGGACGTACGGGCGCCGGCGGGAAATTTTTAAATTTTTAAAACTGGCATTTTTTTTCAAAACACATTTTTCATAGTAAAACATCGCTGTTTCAACCCATTTCACATACATATTGTCCTGTGCCCTGCCTGCATTTTGTCTGTTCTCTCTGCCTGGAAACTGAGAAACGTCCATGGCGTCCAAAAAGTGTCCCTTTAGGTCAAAAGCGGGTTTAGATCAACTAGAGAACAGCAATAGTAAATCAGAACCACTTGCAGAATTGAGTGATAATGATTCGTGGGGAAATTCGTCATCAGACACTAAAAACGATTTTGCGACTTTGCTCAGCAATGTACGAACTTGGCACTATTTCAAATTTCAGTGTTTTTGGTTTGATTATATTATTGAATTAAATGTATTATTATTATATTATTATTTTTTATGATTATTTATTAAATTATAATTTATGATTTCGTGTTTCAAATTTTATCATACCTGGGATGTTTAATAGACTCTTGTTCGGACAGATTTCAGTGAGTTATTCCTAAAAATTACAGCCTACAATAAAAAAACTACATATTTCCATGCAAAATAATGGTACCGCTTTCAGCACCAAAAATCTGAAATAATCATACCGCCAGGGAGGTTAAAGTCACAGAGGAAAACATCGACAAGGAAGAAAAGAATGCTAACAAAAAAGATAGTAAAGCAGAGCAGAATAAAAGGCATTCAACTTTTTAGGACACTTGCAAAAAGTGAATCATGCTAGGCAAAGGAGGTGTTATATGTTTGCCAGTGTCCAAACCTCTTGTAAGCAGCAGTATGACCCAAATGTATCCAAATCCCAGGAAAGAAGGGAAATATAAGTACCCCCTAATACTGATGTGTAAAACTCTAAACTACAATCTATAAAGTACTACAATTACTAAAATTAAAGCAGGCAGTGTAAATGATCTTCTTTACTGAATATTACATGACAGTGAATGCAGTTAAGAGACACTCATCTAATGAATTCACTTTCAGCAGTATTAACACTTGGGCTTGTATCAGATATGTTCTGACAGCTAAGAGCACAGAAGGATGATTGAAGATGTAATTCATTTTAAAATCGAAATGGCTGACTTTGAATATATTCAAATTTACATACACATATTGCAGTGCACATATTAACAAACACCATCTCAATAATCAGTGCACAGTAAACCAAGTCTTTCCCTGCAGCAGCTGGAAAAACAGCAACACCCCAGGTGTATATCACACATGTCTCATAAACCAGTGTTTAAAAGCAAGGTATGGTTTTTAAGCACTGGCTTATGAGACACACATGACAACAAACACACTTAAGTATGCATAGGTCCTTCTAGTTTCCCTTTTACACGATAAGCTGCAGTACACAGATGTGAACCAGTCAGGAAAGCATGGAATTTCTATTTGTAGTGCACTTTCATGCAGTAAAATGCATGTGTTTTACTGCAGGGAGTGTCAATAGTCACTTAAGTCACCATGCCCTCTCAGTAGAATCTCCAAAATTACCTGAGGGCGAAAAAAATGACAAAAAATCCAGATGAAACCTGGTGTCAGTACTATATACAGAAAAGAGGAAGGCAAGAATGCAAAATAAAGTTTACAACATCTGAGGATTTTATGCAGTAGACAGTAAAGGTGAGAGTTTTGCTTTTTCCTGTAAGCTTCCCTTAACACTAATACTCTCTTGTTGGAGACTAAAAGGTTCCTAACGCTAAAGGTGGCAATGTTTTCAAGAGTTAGGCGTGAAGCAGAAAACTGGAGCAAAGCACTTCTATGGGGGGCACAGTGTTTGGCAGGAAGTGACATTAGGTAAGCGAGCTTGTCCTCTGCATTCCAAATGGTGAAAACTGACATTACTGCAGGAACGGGTTATATTGACCTCTTTTATGAAAAAAGGCTTTTTTTTTTTTCTTTAAAGACTTCAAATGAGTAAGCATGACACAAGAGATCTGACACTATGTTACTTAACTGACTAGCATTGGAAATTTCCAATAGGTTTTTGTGCCCTGGGCAGATGACCTACCCTTAGACATTTCCCTGGCAGGTGAATGGCTATCAAGTGCACACCTAGCTTACTTTGTCTCTTTTTTAACAGAACTACCTTAAGCCATATTTCATTCTAAACTACTTGCAGAATATAATCTAGATATCAAAAACAACTGCTCCTTTAAAAAAAAAAAACAAAGTGTCCAGGCCTTGTTTACCGCCCCTCTGAAAAGACAGTGGGAATCCCTTTTTCAGAAGCCTCCTGAATACCTATTTTAGCTACTGTAGATAACACCTAAAGCTCTGTGCTGCAGCTGTGTACATTACAACTGAATAGGTCACTTATAGCAGTGTTATAATCTTCACCACACCACATAACCACAGAAATATGTACCAACATGGACACTAGCTATGTTAATCTCCTAGATTGTAAGCTCCAAGGAGCAGGGCCCTCGAACCCCTCGTGTATTGTTACTGTACTGTCTCATGTACTGTCCCCGCCTCTATAATGTACAGCGCTGAGCAAACTTTTTGGCGCTGTATATAAATACTGTATAATAATAATAATATGCAGCCTGATGGTTGTGGGGGCAGGGGTGCTAAAACCACAGTTCAAATGCATGTCTTTATTGCACCACGATTGCCTCTGTAAATAAGGCCTACCACTCATGAAAACAAATAAGAGATCTGTGTGTGACCACACTTCCTTCCTCATCAAAACTCATAATAGGGCTTCATTAGGCATCAAGGTCCTCACCTATTTCACTCCTGTGCTGCCAAAGGATGATGCAGTGAAGCGAATCAGCAGTCACAGTTATACACTGTGTGAGGTAGTTGACTACATGAAAATTAAATTTCTGTGCATTGCTTGAAAAATATGTAAATGTTATTTAGATATATTATATGTTCAAATTTCAACAATTCATCCTTTAAGCCACTGTCCCATTTTCCAGACAAAAAATGATTTTTTGAAAAGGGTCATTTCACACTGAAATTATAGGGCTGGTATAGTATTTGTCTACCTACCTCCATCTACAACTATCTTGAGCTATCCATAATTGATGAGTAAATCATTCACACATATGCATTAAAACCTAACTCCAGCTAAAAACTTTCTTTTCCTGCCTTCCAGTTTTGCATATCATTATTACGTATAAATGTTTATTTGTATTAAAAGATAAAAAGCGAGCACTCATGCATATGTATCAATTTAAGATGACATTTATGCTACACTTGTAAACAGAACAGAAACGTACTGATAGATTTATTACCTAAAGAAAAAAAAAATACTCTAGGTAGAAAGAACATGTAAACAGGGTTGATAGGGGGAAACATACTGGTTATCCAAAAATCTCCTGCTGCATCTTCATCAGGAAGAGTGGGTTACTGAGAGAATCTGTGTCATGTTATGTGATCTGCCTCCCAATCAGGGATATTTCCTCTCACTTCTTGATGGATGGGAATGTGAAGGGAAATTTCTCCAGTGGGAACATTCCAGTAGGGTCACAAACAAAGAAGGCAGAAGGGGCAGTCATGGGTCTTTAGGCAGATACTACCTGGATAATGTGCAGTGACTTCCAATGGAATATTGATTGACACTGACGCACACGCACGGACACAAACACGTGCACACATACACACTATTGCCAAAAGTAGGGTTCAATATTGAGTTGGCCCACCCTTTGCAGCTATAACAGCTTCATCTCTTCTGGGAAGGCTGTCCACAAGGTTTAGGAGTGTGTCTATGGGAATGTTTGACCATTTTTCCAGAAGTGCACTTGTGAGGTCAGGCACTGATGTCAGATGAGGTGGTCTCTGCTCAAATTCATCCCAAAGGTGTTCTATCGGGTTGAGGTCAGGACTCTGTGCAGGCCAGTCAAATTCCTCCACCCCACACTCGCTCATCCATGTCTTTGTGCACTGGTGTGCAATCATGTTGGAACAGGAAAAAGCCATCCCCAAACTGTTCCCACAAAGTTGGAAGCATGCAATTGTCCATAATGTCTTGGTATGCTGACGCCTTAAGAGTTCCCTTCACTGGAGCAAAGGGGCCAAGTCCAACCCCTGAACAACAACACCACACCATAATCCCCCCCACCAAACTTTACACTGGGCACAATATAGTCAGGCAAGTACCATTCTCTGTACCAAAACCAGTCCATCGGCTTGCCAGACAGAGACGTGTGATTCGTCACTCTAGAGAACACATCTCCACTGCTCTAGAGTCCAGCGGCGGCGTGCTTTACACCACTGCATCCGATGCTTTGCATTGCACTTGGTGATGTAAGGCTTGGATGCTGCTGCTCGGCCATGGAAAAACCCATTCTATGAAGCTCTCTATGCACTGTTGTTGTACTAATCTGAAGGCCACATGAAGTTTGGAGATCTTTAGCTATTGACTCTGCAGACAGTTCATGACTTCTGTGCACTATGTGCTTCAGCATGCACTGACCCCGCTCTGTCATTTTACATGGCCTACCACTTCGTGGCTGAGTTGCTGTAGTTCCCAGTTGCTTCCACTTTGTAATAATACCACTAACAGTTGCCGTGGAATATTTAGTAGCAAGGACATTTCATGGATGGACTTACTGCACAGGTGCCAACCTATCACAGTGCCATGATTGAATTCACTGAGCTCCTGAGAGCGACCCATTCTTTCACAAATGTTTGTCAGTTTGGCAGTATTTTGTGTGTGTTTGTGTACATTGTATATATAATGCTATAAAACATGGTACAATCGACTATCACTTACTTGATCTTCATGATTGAGTCCATTATGTAAAACTAGGTAAAACTGAACCAAGACATCTGAGTTTGGTAGAACATCTTGCCGTCTTGTCATCATACCACAGATTAGCTTGTAGGCATGCAGTTTGCCCTCCTTGTATTCACTTGGCAAGGTAGTAGCCTGAAAAAAAACAAAACAAACAACACACTATTAAACATGAAACAAAAAACATAAAAACAAAAATCAAACCGCATGCCAGAAATGTAAACCAATGCAAACTGAAATGTATCTATAGCTATTTTTTATTTTTGGTTTTTAGTTCTGGATAGGGTGTGGACCCTCTCTATTTTTGATGGGAAATCTTTCAATGAGGGTGTCAATTCTGGTAACAACTAAGAGAAAAAATTGATTTTCACTCATTTTCTGTCATGTCTCCAGGACAAGAGGTAAAGACAAATCTCCCAAGGGCACGAGACAAAAAAAAAAAAAAAACCTCACGGGGCTCAAAATATTCTATGTTCTATCAAAACTAAAAAAAGTTCATACTGAAGATACACCTCCACATATGTTCATTACAGCCTGAAAAAAGGGGGAGGTCCTCAAACCTTAGATCCTAAACTTAGATATAGCATCCAGTGTAAGGGTTCCACATAATGTCTGCCTCCCAGACCCTATATGCTCAAACTATTACATTTCTGTGGTTTCCAAATAGCCGGGAACTTAAATCATTCAATAGAGATCGATATATATATATATATATATATGTCTCCAAACAAATGCCAACTCATTCTTAGTGCCCTAGAAACTGGTACACTGACTCTTGGGATCATAATGTTCAAAGTGACTGAGCATCTCTGGTCAACAATGAGATGTTTCCATTTATCTGTATCAATCTGGTCTCTAACATACAAGAGTTGAATGCTCTAATGAGAAATTTTTGGAAGAAGAATGCTTTCTCATCCTTCAAGTGGTGAGGCTGCCTAAGGAGCTCAGCACTGAATGCAATTGTTTATATACTGAAACCATACCACTCAAAGTTCTAGTGCACTGGCCACTGGGAACCTCTTCTAAGGCATCAGAAGCACAGCAAACTATTTAGTGTCATGTATGTATGAGCCTTGAATTAAAGAAAACCACTCAATATTCACTTGTTCCTGGTAAACAGTTCATATTCTGTACCATTTACAAATTTAGAGTTTTACATTTAACTACTAATCATGCAAACAAGTAAGCATTAGAATTATTTTCTATTTCTAAATTTAGTAATCCCAAAAAGAAGTTTTCAAATATTGTACAAAAGGACATGTAGTGTCTGCTGATGACATGTTGTCCGACCTTGAGTACTTTCTACATATATGTACTGTGTGCCAATTTCTCCATTTTCTGGGCCTAAATTAAATGGTTTAAAGGATAAGTTCATCTTTAGTAACATGTTAAACCATATTCAGGGTGTAGCATGTAACATATTATGAATGGACCAGCTCCCATAACCCCCCGATCATCGTTGTGACAGCTAGCAGGGGAACTTCTCTGCCCTGCTGTCACAATGTAAAAAAAACGCAGCCACATGGCCGCGTCACTCATTCACAGTATTTTATGAATGAGAACATTACAAGTACCAACAGCCTTTGCGACTATCAGCTTGTAGTTCTCAATGAACTACCATGGCACTGTGGAGCGCCATTGAAGTTCATTGAGTCTTCCTGTCAGTAAGTATATGCTTGCCTGTACGAGGTGTATGGGCACACACATACACTGACAGGTCTGCAGGAGCAATTACCTGCAAAATACTGTGCATGTATTATTTTTTGTTAAAAGGTGAACTTATTCTTTAACCGCTTGCCTACAGGGCACTTATACCCCCTTCCTGTCCAGGCCAATTTCCAGCTCTCAGCGCTGTCACACTTTGAATGACGATTGCGCGGTCATGCAACACTGTACCCATATGAAATTTTTATCATTTTTTTTGTAACAGATAGAGCATTCTTTTGGTGGTATTTTATCACCTCTGGGTTTTTATTATTTCTTAAACAAACCAAAAACCGCTGAAAATTTAAAAAAAAAAACGTTTTTTCTTCGTTTTTTCTGTTGTAAAATTTTTAAAATAAGTGATTTTTCTCCTTCACTGATGTGCGCTAATGAGGCTGCAGTGATGGGCACTGATAGGCTGCACTGATGGATACTGATAGGTAGCACTGATGGGCACTGATGAGGAGGCACTGGTAGGTGGCACTGATGGGCATTGACAGGCATCACTGATGGGCACTGAAAAGCAGCACTGATATATGGCACTGATAGGCGGCACTGACTGGTACTGATAGGTGGCACTGATTGGCATTGATAGGTGGAATAGGTGGCACTGACATGATAGGTTGGCTGGCACTGATGGGTGACACTGAAAGGCAGCTCAGATGGGCACTGATATGTGGCATTGATGTGCCACTGATGGGCACTGATATGTGGCATTGATGTGTGCACTGATGGGCACTGGCATGTGGCACTGTTCAGCACTGACAGCTGGCACTGATGGACACTGACAGGTGGCACTTCTGGGGCCAAACTGATCATCAGGGCACACTGATCATCAGTGCCCTGATGATCAGTGTACATGTCCCCTCCGCGGAATGCCGATTACCGGCTCTCCTCTCCTCTCGAGCTGTCAGCGTGACAGCTCGTGAGGAGAGAAATGCCGATACCAGAATTTCCCTGTTTACATGTGATTAGCTGTGATTGGACACAGCTGATCACATGACCGAGCCAAAATCTTCGGCTCTTTCTGTAGATCAGTGATTCGCTGTGTCCAAGGGACATAGCGCACCGCCGATCGCCGCACTCCATGCTCCCTGAGCCTCGCATGCGCAGTGAGAATGGGAGGACGTCATATGACGTCCTCCCAGAACGAGAGAACCACCTTTCGCCCGTCATTGGACTATATGGCAGGCGGGAGGTGGTTAAGGATACAAGGTTCTGAAGTACTCACCAGTAATTTATTAAAAAAAAAAAATAATAATAATAACACTGTGCATTTTTTCTCATAAATGTGCTTTAGGACATAATATCAAACAGTGGAATGTTTATATTGTTATCCATGTACAAGTACTTACTTTAAACAGCCAAGATGCAAACATTCTTAGAGGTGGGATCAAAACGGGAGGTGGAGGGGAAGACTGATTGTCCAGGCTGATTGACAGATTGTCTCTAATCTGAAAAGAAAAACAAATGTAAAGCTAAATATGTGTGTGTTTTTCCTTTCTTCATTTCTATATGTACACATAATACATATTTATATGTCCTCATACTCTCATGAAGTCCTAAATACTATAAAGGCAGCATTCACACTTAAGCGTTTTGTAGCTTGAAGCTCCAAAAAAGCTCAGACTTAAAAAATCAATTGTTCTCTATGGTGCCTGTTCACACCTGATCTCGTGAACAGGCACCATAGAGAACAACTGATTTTTTTAAGTTTGAGCGTTTTTGGAGCTTCAAGCTTCAAGCTGCAAAACGCTCAAGTATGAATGCAGCCTTAAACAATAGAAAAATAGCATTTTTATAATATAAACTAATCATCTATCTATACCTTAACATTCAGAAACTGCATCACGTTATTTAATGCTGCCATCTAGTGTTTGATATGCAATATGTTTCAATATAAACACATGCTTGAAGTGTCCAGTGGGTTAATTTTCTAAAACTAGATAATGCAAAATCTGGTACAGCTGTGCATGGTAGCCAACCAGCTCCAACGTTAGTTTGTTCAATTAAGTTTTGACAAAAAAAAAAACTGGAAGCTGACTGGTTTCTATGCAGAGCTGCATTGGATTTTGTACTCTCTAGTTTTAGTACATCAACCCCCAGGTGTCTTAGACAAGGAATGTCTGTTGATAAGTGAAGTTTTTTCTAAAATGCTTTGTGAATAGTGTTTTGCTCTGAATTCTCTATACCAGCTTCTCACTGTGGTAATAGTTGCAGTCTACAGCACTCATTAAGTTTGGAATATTGCATTATTATCCCAAAGTTTTGTTAACACCAGATAACCCACTGTGCAGCGGCTAGTGCAAATCGCCACACGAAAACAGGAAAAATGTATAAGATGTTGCTCCTAATCAAAGGAGCCAAGAATGACAGCAGGATATTGCATTAGTATACTGCCATGTACAGTCATAGTCAGTAAAGCAATGCAAAGAGAAATCACAATGTGCAAAGCACAATAACATATAGTGCACAATTACGTTTTACTATACTTTAGACATAAAAGAGGAAGCTTATTTTGACTATTCAGTTATTGTTCAGTATATATAATGTACAGCTAAATGTATTAACATTTTCAACAAAGAAAGAAACCGTGAACATTAAAGATACCATAAAAGAACATTGGCATCCAGACTTTCTCTGCACCATGAAGACTACATTAATGTCTTTTCCAGTTTAAATGCAAAGCTCTAGGCCACTCACTTTTAGGGAAAGTTCTCCAAAAGGCAGCATAATACAGTTCATTTGAGGTGTGCTATGTATATCTGAAAAGCTATCGGGACTCAGGCCCTCCTGTGTTGATCAGCAATACCCAAACAATGGATTAGAAGGTACATGTGGCTTTCAGCTACTCCAAATGGAACTTTTAAAAGTGTTTTACAAGCTGGCAAGTGTTGTGAAGTGCTGCCTCCAGCTGATCGTACAAAGGAGTGTCTGAAATCACTGCTAGGATGATGGCAGTGACAGATCTCTACTTGTATTGTTCATCATTCCACTCGAAAATCATTCCCAACTTAAACTAGCAAGGCTCCAACAAGCCACATAGCTTGCAAACATCCTTACATGTTGAGGCAAATTAAATCTTACTTCATTATTATTATAATACAGGATTTATTATATATTGTACTTCATCACACAATTCTTCTCACTTTTACTCTTCTTTATAGAAGACTGATAATGGAGAAGGTGGCCCAGAGTCTTATACACATTTACAGCAATAACACACCTAAAGAAACACATTTTGTTGGGTCAACTTTTATTCCACAAATTTTTTTTTGCTCTTATAGAAAAACAATAACATAACAATTAAGTGAAAAATATCAGTACTTACACAAGACATAGAGGCAACATGAAATGCAGGAGAGGGAGATCTACCCCCACATGAACTTTGAATTGATAAGGGGGGTACATGGCAGATCATGAAATTAGTTATTCACACCTCACCTGGATATTCCAGGTGGTAAGAAAAATAATGTGATCGCAAGTGATGATAGGAATAGCACTTTCTTCTGTCTGCAGTACAGTACTGTACAGTAGATAGGTCCCATACAACCTGGCTAGAAACAAAGACAGGGGAAACCCCGCAATGCAAATAAGTTCAGAGTGGAGAAAGAAGAATGATAAAGAAACAAGAAGAAAAAAGAAAAATATATATATAAAAAAAAAAAAAAGAAATGGGTGGGCAGAATGAAGGGGGCTGGGTGCAGAAGAGGAGAAGATTAGGAGAGGGAAAGAAGGGGTGGGATTGGAGGTGGGGTGGGGATGCTAAAGCTATGTTCCGGACAGGATCAAACAGTGGCCCACACAGGGAGTTCCAGCTCTTTTCTAGGTCTTTCATGCCATCCATTCCAGGTCTGAGCACATGAGCGGTTGATATGGTTAAATATACCCAGAAAAAAGGGGGGTACAGGCTATTGGAACCTTATTATAGTACCATCTTGGATACGGATGAGTTCCTACAATTTCAGAAGCCCTATCCAATCATGAGAACCAATCTTTCAGTTTGCTTGCGCAAGTTGTTGGATCAATTTTTATTTGGGTCGTGATTGGGCGTGTTGGTGGGCATCGGATTTCCTTCTTATGGCAACCACTGTCCAACGTGATTGACATGGACCTGCATGGCTGGACAACATGATTGATGGTGGATATACAAAATGGGACCGTTCTGTTTTTTTTCCTCAACAAAATAAGGTGCTTTATAAACGGCCTCCCCGCACCCTGCTTGTGCGCGCTCCCTGGGAGCGTGCAGCACCGCGATCCGGTGCCCGCTGTGTCCTCTGGACACAATGGAACACCGATCGTCAGACGGGACCTCTGTGTGAGGTCCCGATCATGTGATCACTGATTGGCCAATCAGTGATCACATGCAGAGCAGTAAGCAAGATGTCACTTGTGACATCATTGCTTACTACGTGTGAGATCTGTGAATGATCACAGAGGTCACATGGTGCAAGGCTATTCACAACAGCATTGTACCATGTGACAAGCTGTGACCAATCACAGCTCACTCAGTAGTTCTCAATGGCTGCAAGACTGCAGCTAGAGAGAAGGAGAAATGATTGCTTTTACATCCTTTATGGGTGTAAAAGCAATCAGTGTAAAAGAAAAAAAAAAAAATCTTCATCACCCCCCACAAGTAGTACAGTTTCACCATGGTGACACAGTATTTCTAGGGTGACAGTATGTAAAAAAATAAATAAATAAATTAAAAAAATTACAAAAAAATTACAAAAAAATGTTTAAAAATTATAATTTTTGGTTAAAACTAATTTGGGTTATTTTTTTTTACTAACAATATAACGGAATACATTTTGGCCAAGATTTATGATGAAATACTATTTATTTGCAAAATTTTATAAGAAAAACACTTTTTTGAAAAATTTTGGACTTTTTAATTTACATAGTAAAAAAAATAAAAATCCAGTGGTGAATAAATACCACCAAAATAAAGCTGTATCTGTCTCAAAAAAATGCTAAAAAAATTCATATGGGTACAGTGTTGCATGACCGCGCAATTGTCATTTAAATTGTGATAGCACTGAAAGCTGAATATTGGCTTGGACAGGAAGGGGGTAAAAGTGTCCGGACATGAAGTGGTTAAGACAAAAATTCATACTGTATGTATTTCTCTCTTTCACAGATGAAAGCATTTATAAATACCTAGCTGGATAATAACATTTCAGTATGTGCAAGTTAGCATACAAGCCACACAGGAGATGTCTTCAAGAGTTTAGGTTCATTTAAAGGATAAATCCACCTTAAAAGAAAAATAAAAATAAATGCACCTTTTTTTTTGCAGATAAAAAAAATGCAATTATACTTTTTTTCTTGGGAGCCTGGAAAACACTGCACCCACAAATCAGCAGATTGCGGGTGCAATATCCAGCTCTTCTGTCAGTACTCTGTTCACCTGTACTGCCGATACAGACAGGCAGTTACTGAAGTCCAGGAAGCTCAACAGACTACAAGAGAGCTCACCTGCGCCTTCACAGTTCATTGAGACTACAAGCCATCAGCTGCAAAGGCTGGACGGTACTTGTAGGCATTCCATTCAGCTGCATGGTTTATAAATTGTGACAGCGAGCACATGGAGAAGATACACCAGCTGCTGTCACAAGGAAGGGGGGGATTGGGGGGGAGAGGTGCTAGATGCCAAACATGTTACACCTTAAAAAACAGGTGTAACATGTAATATGTTGAGTAAGGTGAACTTATCCTTTAACCACTAACTAGTGGATCAGTCCACCCAAAATCTGTATTTTCGCTGTAAGTGAAAACTGGTGACCTGAGGCATCCCTGGCTTCTTTTAGGTCTTGGAAACGCCAACAGCAAGATCATGCTGCCTTAATTCCGGACTGTGTTCCTGTTCACCTGGCAGATTTGGGTGTTTATGGCCACCTGTTCTAGCACCTGTTGCTGCATTCTCCGTAGTATAATGTACATTAAAAATCTAAGGAGAGTGGGGCCCCTTTTAATGGCCACAACAGGTGTGCTG